CTTCATCAAATGATATATTTATACCATCTATACTATTTGTTGAAACCACGGAGGGAGATCTTGAGAGATTTTCTTCCAAGATCTAGAGAGGGAGAGAGGAGGGAGAGGGAAACCGTGAGCCAAAAAAAACCCAGTAATCTTTATTCCCTTGGCTGCCTATTACAAGCCTAAACACACTTATTTAAAGACTCCTAAAGGCTATACAAATAGCTCCACAAATGGCTACATATGCCATACAAAAAACCTATACAAAAACAAACATAAAAATCTGGAATAATATCTAACAATCACCCCTTAGTCCAGATTTTACAAAACAAAAGATAACCACTGTTCTTAAAGAACAGCCAAAGAACAACAACCCTGTCGGTCTCCTCCGCCAACAGCGTCCACCGACAGTTAAAAGATTTCTCAAGAACCGATCAATCAACTTCTTGAGTTTCTAGCTCCACCTCCCGACAGATCTTCATATGTCGCACTACGTCCAACGCAGCCAATCCCGAGCACCCCTAGCCCGGCTTCCGCTCCCTGTGCATCCACCTACACCCTGCGCCTCAGTGCCCACGCCCTGTGTTAAGAGAGTTGCTATTTGCATGTTTTACATTCTTGCAACTTGTATTATTTTGATGATTTCAAATATTATTATTTTATGTATAGATATCTCCTAACACTTTTTGGAAGATTTATTTTTGCTCTAGTGTGTACTAACATTTCAGGAAAATCAACTCCAAACTATGAAGACTTCAAATCAAATTCAGCATCCAATCATTTGTAAATTAAAAGCTTTAAAAATGTCTTTGAATTGAGAGGGAGTGATTGTAATTGAGTGAATATTCACAACACACATATGGGGGAATAATTTTTGTGAACTGATCGTACGGGACGATCATGTCAATTAACCCCTCGGAAGAGCAATAGATCAAACAGGCAGTGAGAAAATTTTTCTAAGTCCTAATCGTCCGGACGAATTTAATATTCGTCCCGGGACGAACGCCTCTGGATTCTCACTTTGCACTGTTCGTCCAGACGAAATGCATGGTTCGTCTCTGGACGAAACTCTCTGTTTAAAATCGTCCAGGACGAAATTTACCCTTCGTCCCTGGACGAAACTCTCTATTTAAAATCATCCAGGACGAAACTCGTTCGTCCCAAGACGAACCGAACCGACTTACCACAGTTGGTTACGTCATGTAGGGATTTGGAAACCGACCTATGGAATAACCATTTCGTACCAGACGAACCTAGTTCGTACGGGACGATGATCGTGTACGAACATAGTTCGTACCAATATACATTATGATCGTTTCTGACATTTTAAGTAAAATCATTCGGGACGATCCACGATCGTACGGGACGATCCACTGCGTACAGAATTGAAAATTTGCACTTTTTGGACAGTTTTTCTTGTCTTTCCTATATTGTGCAATTGCTTGTGAGGCGCACGCCTCTTGAAACCAGGTCCCACCTACTTAAAATGCCTTATTTCTTCTATACCGGCATTCGGCTATACTGAACCGAACGAAAATTCTCCCGCAAACCCAGTTCCGTTCTCAAATCTTCTGCTTAGCTCAGCTCGGGTTCTCTTTCTGCCGCCTCTCCCGCCAATGCCACCTCAAGCCAGTGAGTTTATAGGGTCCGGCCGCCCTCTACAAGCACTCCACTATTGGTTTTAGGTTTTTTTTTAGTTCAAGGATAGCATTTTCAAGTTATAGAAAATCTAGGGTTTTCTATTTCCTAAGATTTTTGTATGTTTTCGCATTTGTGCATTAGGAAATATGGTTATGGGCAAGGAAAAGACAAATACGTCATTGCGGTGTAACCCTTCTTGGAAATACAGTCTGCAAGTTGATGTAGGAGGCAGTGAGAAGATATATGTGTATTTAAAATGTAATTTTTGTGATAAGATTGTGAAGGGAGGAGTTACTCGCATGAAGGAACACTTATCCAGCTCACATAAGAATGTAGCACCTTATGCGAATGTCTCGGATAAGGTGAAAGAGGAAATTACTGCTTACATAAAGAAGAGTACCACGGCCAAACATTTACAACATGAGCAATTTGATAACAGGGTCGAACATGGTACTTATTACGGGAGCGAGAGTGGAAAGGTCTCTTCCTCCACTATACATAATAGAGGTGCGCGGGGTCCTATGGACCAATATATAGTTAATCCATGTGATGATAGAGGACAAGCACAGATGATTCCTGTGGCTGGTACCAGAGAGGGTCGACGTCAGGTTTGCATGAACATTAGAATATATTTTTTTTAGAATGTCATTCCATTTAATATTGCGACATCGCCGGCCTACTTCAATATGTTGCGATCTATAAGGTTGTATGGGAGAGGGTTGAAGGCACCTTCCATGTACGAGTTGCGAACATGGATTTTAAAAGAGCTGCAAAACATAGAGCAGAGTATTGATGAGATTAAACGGACATGGAGTGAGATTGGTGTTACCATTATGTTAGTGGATGGTCTGACATGAAGAGCAGGAGCTTGATTAATATCCTTGTAAATAATCTCTACGGCACGATTTTTTACGATCAATTGAAGCTTCATATGAGGTTAAAAATGTTGAATTCATCTTCAATTTACTAGATGGGGTTGTTAAGGAGATTGGGGAGCAATTGGTTTTTCATGTGGTGACTGACAATGCTAGTGCATACAAAGCAGCTGGTCAGATGTTGATGGAGAAGAGGAAACACCTCTATTGGACCTCCAGCATAGCACACTCTATCGATCTTATATTGGAGGAATTTGGTGATTTACCTCAACAAAAGAGTGCCCTTTCTAGGGCGAAGAAGATCACAAAGTTCATCTACAACCACTCCTGGGTTTAGCCTTAATGAGAAAGTTTTCAAAGAAGGAAAGAATTCACCCTGCTACCACTAGGTTCGTTATTAGACCTTTCATGCATCACATATTATATTTATGCATTGCAATTCCTAATGTAAGTTTATTCTACAGGTTTGCCACATCTTATTTGACACTACAGAGCCTGCTGGATGTGAGACAACCTCTTAAAGCAATGTTTACATCAACACAATGGCTTAATTCTACGTGGGGTAAGAAACATGAGGGGAAGGAAATACGAAGACTAATTCTAAATGATAATTTTTTTGGCAAAAGTGGCCTATGCCATATTGAGCACGAGACATTTGGTACAAGTTCTAAATTTAGTGGATGCCGAGAAGAAACCAGCCATGGGTTTTATATATAATGCAATAGATGAGGCAAAAGAGTTGATTACACATAACTTGAGAGGAGAAGAGGCAAGCTATAGAGAAATTTGGAATATCATTGATGCTCAGTGGGAGGTCCAGTTACACCGTTATCTATATGCAGCGGCGTATTATCTTAATCCTCAATTTCAATATTCAGAGAGGAAATCCTCAAACCCGGAGGTGAAGCTTGGCTTGTATCATTGCATGGAATGACTAATACCGGACCAGACTATCAAGGAGATTGCAAATTTAGAACTTGTTCTATTTCGAAATATGGAGGGATTTTTTGTCTGCAAACAGCAAAATCTACTATTGTCAAATGCTCTCCAGGTATACTTATTTTTGCAAAGTATTTGTACATGCATAAAACTTTAATATATTCTAATTATCATTTTTATTCTTGAAAATAGTTGAATGACGGACCCAATTTAGTGATTCCACCTATGAGTTACATAATTTTTCTGTTAAAGTTTTGGGTCTCACTTGTTCTTCCTCTAGATGTGAGCGAAACTGAAGTACATATAATCAAGTGCAAACAAAGAGAAAAAATCAACTTTCAACACTCAGAATGAACTCCCTTAAGTATATTATGTACAACAAGAGGTTGAGAGATAGAAAGTTGAGGAACAAGGGGTTGAAGGATGATGAGGACTCGTTTGTGTGTGATGATGTGGCATCTGATAATGAGTGGTTCATAGATAATGAGACAGATTTGTCATTATCAGACCTGCAGCTAAATGATCTAAGTGTGGATGTCTTGAGGGGCGAAGCAGATCAAGTGGGCGTATCCACTAGTACCACACCACACACATCTACTAGTTCTGCAGCACAACAATCAATTAAAGATATTCCACAACTTCTTATATGCTATTACATTATATATATATATATATCAAGTGGCCAATTAACATGATAATGATCATGCTTATTGAACAGGGAAGAGAAAAGTGAGTAATATTAATGATGATGAAGATATGATATTCATAGATACAATTGGAGAAGAAGATTCCCTTGAAGACTTATTTAATGATGGAATATGATTGGATTTTATATACTTTTTCTTATTTGTACTTTGGGAGTTTTGATAGACTTATATTTTGTGATTCTGTAATTTGAATTATACTATGTGATGCATATAATGCATCTATTTTATTGTTTTCCACTAATTTCACTTATCATTTACATGTTTTTATTGTATGATACTTTTACTGTTATTTACCTGCTAAAACTCTTAAATTCTTATTTACGTAATTCTTCGTCCGTGAGGCTTACGCCTCACACCACCTCGAGGCTTACACCTCGCCTCACGGACGAAAAACGCCTCGATGCTTATTTACGCAATTTTAAACCATGATGACATCTAATCCATACAGAGGAAAAATTCCATCATTCATAGCTTTTGAAGAACAAACCAGTTACACAACCAATCTAACAAAATCAACCAATGAAACAAAAATTCTACTTATTTATCTATTTAACATCTAGATTTTTATTTGTATTTATATAACACTCTCGTGCATAAATCACATAAACACATCACTGGCATTAACTGATGTAAAGTAAAATATAATTTTTCATATATGAATTTTTTATCTAGACAATAGAGTGATAGATAAGTAAGTATAAAATTTAGCTGTTAGATGTATAAATAGATAAGAATTATATTTTAAGTATGTAAATAAAAAAAATAAAAGAACTTTAATAGATAAAATCCTCGTTGCATTTAAACACCAGCATCAGATAATTCAGGAGAGGCAAGAAAGAAACAGATTACATACCTAGCCGCAGGATCGACCTCTTTGAGTAGCGACGGATTATGCCTAACGATCTCCCTGACCGGTGTTCCCATTGCCTTTTCCCGATCCCCCTCCCTGGCCAGAAATGCCACCACGTCCAACGAATTCAAAATCCCAACGAACCTCGCCGCCCTCTCCCTTTCCCTGACAACCTCCTCCCCTCTTCTTCTCCACACTGTTACAGCTCTCTCTGAGCCCTCTCCAATCTCTCCCATCGCAGCCTCCACCGTCTCCCCTTCCCAGAACTCCCTCATATCAGGCTTCCCAACCGTGAGATCTCCAACAACATGATGCAAAAACACCGCCGCCATACTACACAATCCTAGAATTCAGTCGATCGCCTCGCCCGAATCGACTAGGGCTATAAAAGCGAGTGGAGAAGGGTGAGGTGGAGTAGTAGGAAGCTACAGACTGGCTTCGAGCGTGCAATTATGACATCAGGGAAGAGGATGAGAGCTGGGGAGCTACCGGTGGCTAGACGGGCTGCCATGTAAGAAGGCCGGAGGGGAAATGCCCATCAAAGGTTCACGGTTCTACCGAAATCGCTGGGGCGAGGAAGACGAGGTCAGATCAGGGGTTCGGGATGGATGACACCGCAGCCGGCGCTCTTGCTCCTTTATTGGGGCCAGGCGGCCAGGCCGTTGGATCGCCTGGTAGCAGTACGTGCGGTTACCTTCTGGTACGATTACCATTAACAAATGGACATTGAAAACGATTCGATGAAGGTGGCCATTGATGTTGAGAAATTATTACGTGTTATGTTATCCGATCATGACATGCCGTGTTATCTGATATATAATATAGAACAGTGCATAATAAATTGATGATGTGATATATTTTAATTTATTTTTTTGGTGATCGTACGTAATAATTTCATAAAAATGTTAGTCTCTCAGGAGATTAAATATGTAAATTTAATAAATTATAAAATTAGATGGATGATGAATAAGAACTAATTGATTTAAAATTTTAAAGATCCATTATAAAAGATGAATAAGTCAATAGATTCATGTGTCATTGATCTCCTTTATCCAATAAATGAGGAACAATTGTCTTTCTTTAAGGCTTGGATGACAGGATTGTAAGACGATTCAACAAAAAAGGAAGATAGGGGTGGGCAGTGAAATTGCAATGTGATTTCAGCAGTTGAATGCGTCCAAAAGTCGGGCTTCGTTTGAGACGACTTTTTTATTGCTTTCTAAAGTAACTTTTTAGTTCAAAAATTTATTGAATTAGAAATTATTGTACTAGACAGCCGTTTTAGAAAGCAGCTAGAAAACTGTCCCAAGTAAAGCCTTAGTTGAGTAGCAAGATAACTACAATATATGGAACATCCCTCGAACTCTTCAAGGGAGAAGGTCACCAAGTAAAGCCTTAGTTTGCTTATTTTCTTATTTTTCTTCTACCGAACCTGATGGCTTTGATAGTTCTAATATCTTTTTTTACTTAGGTAAAATTTTCATGGTAATTCTAAGCATCTCTTCACCTTGGCTGAAACACTTTGCATGAAAAATTGGAGGTTACTTATCTGACCCATGCATGGCAGTTTTTGAAAATTGAAAAGGCAAATGTCTTATTCTCACTTGGACAAATTTTTTTTTTTTTTTGGGACATTTAGGCCATTAAGGCAAACTAACACACACAACGCATACGGACTCTAACCTTGGACCTCTTAGTTGGAAGCCTAAGCTCTCAACCAATAGGCCAAGGGGAGTTGTACTTGGACAAATTATGCATGAAGAGTTGGACTTCATTTTATGCTTTAATGTAAATATTATTATAATAACTTAAAGTCCCATATGATGACATTAAGATTTCATTAGAGATAACTTTCTTATTGTTTTAAGAAGCAACTTTTTAGTACAAAAATTTCAAATTTTTAAAAAAAATTATACTAAAAAACTGCTTCATAAAACAATAAGAAGCCGTTCCACATGAAGCTTAAAACTCATGATATGTTAATAATATTAAAGCTCATGATTTTATATGGATGATAACATTATTAAAGTCATGATAGTCAACAACAAGCTTTCATAAGAAAATTGATAATTGTTAATAATAATTATACTAATAAAAAAAACTCCAGTAATATATATATATATATATATTAGAATTTAAAAAGAGCATTGTGATGTGGGTCAGAGCCACTACGACACTAAGTTAGAAAAGTCAGAAAAGTTACACACACACACACACACAATTCATCAAAAAAAACCTCACACCACAACCCTCTCCTCATTTTTCCTTATTTTCGGAGAGAAGGGAAAGAAAGGAGGAGAAAAAGGAGGAGGAAGAGAAATTCCTACTCCAAGTCATTTTTAATCTGCTCAACTTCTAGTTGGAAAAAGTGCTCTAATCATGGTAGGTCAACCTTTAACCTTCAATGATTTTGTATTTTGCATTTTTTCTTTCTATAAAAATTGATTAAAATTGATACATTTTCTCAGTTTTTTTGATATTTTCAAATGTGTAACGTTTTGATATGCGGTATTGAATATTTTGACTATGTTATATTAAAATTTCACCAATGATTTTATTTAATAGGTTCATTTTATTCAAAATGATAATATTAATATTTGGAATATAAAAATGATACAGGAGTCAATAATACTATAATTGGACATGAATATATTGTATTGCACATATTTTTTACTATTCATTGTAGTTTCAACATGCATTTTTTGACTCACTATAGACATCTATCTGAGTGTTAATGAGAGTTGCATTGTGGTTATATTATATTTCTATTATGAATCTATATGATGTGAAAGGTGTGTAATGCAAGAAAATTGGGTTGATTGGAGATGATATGATTGGTTTTGATTGGCTATAGAATATTATCCATTATAGGAGGTGAACCATTAGACTTTCTTTTAAATAAGGTTTGTGTATGTAATCAAATGATATGCAATGGAGAGTATAATGAGACTGAGCTGATATGATATAATATGCCGAAACTCTGTGAAGTGACGTGACTTCTTACATTAAAATCATATGAATTGTATAATATTGATGTTGAGAACTTGAATTTCTCGCAAATGAAACTAATATGATTTGAGATTGATTCTTATAAATGCCTACAATTACTTATAAAGAAAAAAACATGGATAGATTTGATTTAAGAATTTTTTCAAAAAAAAAAGAGGCTTTATGCTTCTTTGGTTATGATGATCTTAATTAAAACATTTTACATGATGGATTTGATTAGAATTTTTCAAAAAAAAAAGCTAAGTTGTGATTATCAGTCAATATTACATATGTCTTTGACTTGCATTTGCATATTTGTTACTCATTCTTGCATTTGTTTTTTTTTCCTTTGCATCCATTTAACTCCTCCATAAATTGGAAATTCTTTGAAGGAAGGGAAGAAATGTGTGAGAACAAGAGCTATAAAAAATTATTAAAATAATATTTGGAATTATTTTTAGATCATGTATTATATATATATATATATATATATATTATCTATACTACTATTATAAAAGGGCGCTTTGAGTTTCCTTCCTCCGGGACAAAATCTTGTTCATCCCATTTCTACTTATTTTTATATTATCTTGGCCGTCCGTTCTATTAAAAAATATTTAATAAATCAAAAAAATTTAAAAGTTGCTTGGATTTCACTCTAGCAAATCCTGATCGTTCATTTATAAATTTTTAAATTAATCTACATCGTTCATTAGACTATTCAAATTCTACTATTTTCACCTCCTACCAAAAACAAATTTAGCCGAAATGTCATACTCTTAAAAAAAACCTTTAATTAGTTAATTGCATTTAATGTATTACGTTTTAAATCATATTGGCATTTAATGCATAAAAATGGTTCTTACGTTATATTAAAAAACATTCATAAATGATTATATTTCAAATTATTAATAAAGTTTGATATATAAATGATTATAATTAAATATTTAATTATGCTGATGTGACTCTTTTGTATTCCCACTCCCATTCAGCCAAACTCTGTGTTAATTTCGGAAGTCTTCTCAGCAATCTCCCCTTTGGCCTTTTCGCAATTCCTTCGAAGATGTTCTTAAATGGTTAAATGGTGCAAGTGAAGACGGTTCAAATGTCCGCCAAAATACAAAACGCTTGGAAATACTCCCCGCATCCGTTTGAAGGATCTCTCTCTTAATGAAGCTCTACTTGCCTTTTCCACTGTAAATTTAAAATTTTCAAAACGCTTTGGAATTTCAGTTAAAAAAATAATTAATTGTAAACGTTTTTTGAACTCTGCTTTCCTTTCCTTTCCACATTATAAATACAAAAAAAGCTTTGGAATCTCCCCCCGCCATTTGACTGACTAGTTTAAAAATAATTATTGTAAAACGTGCTTTTAATTTAATATAATTAATGTCAATTTTTCCTTATATATTTGGTCATGGTCCATTGGGTTATCCCTAACGTCTCTCACATATTTTTTTGGATAGATTTGCTGTTTTGATAGAATGCATTGCTTTTTTTATTCTTGTTTGCAACAAAAAATAGTGATATTCTATATAATTTTTAAAAAAAAATATTATACATTTTTATTTATCTTATGTTATGCTTTTTTTAACTATGTTTATTTGAATTTTTTTCTAAAACTAAATTTCTTATATGTTTACATAAATTCCTTATTTATAAATTTTTATTTATCTTAATTGTATGCTTTTTTTAACTCTGTTTATGAATTTTTTCTTTAAAACTAATTTTCTTTATATGTTTTCACAGAAAATTTCTCAATCTTGGAAATGATTCAATTTCGTTATACAATCTCCGCTTAATTCCAAAGTAAGTACTGAATTCAAATTTATTTTCATTTTTTTTTTCTTCTCAAGCAAATAAATATAATCTCATGTCATTTATTTTCATTTTATAGTTAGTAGAAAAGAGGTAAATAACTAATATTTGCAAAGTATTAGCAAAACTAATTTAAAATAAAACAAAATTATGTTGTGCCTTCTATAGCATCTAAAGGTTAATGATCAGTTAATTAAACTTAATGGTTCTTTCATCTACAAGGCCCTCCCTCCTTATTATGGATTCCTTAAATAATTATATTTTTAATATTTAATTAAACTTAAGCTTATATATTAATTTAAATATAGCTTTAATTAATTTACCATTTTATATTAGGACCTCCATGAATTATTAATATATCCATTAGAAAGGCAATTTTTATGTAGATCTTTTAATTAATTTTCATTATATCAATATTTATACAATTTTATATTGTAATTATTCTCCATAAAATAATTAAAACTTGATTTCCTACTCTTTGGCTGTATGCATACTTTAGATAATTATCTTCCTTCTAATTCACTTGATTTTAAATTTATGTTTTGTAACTCATCTCTGTTGATGCCAAAATCAAATAAACCTTACATGAGGAAGGTTTAATATATTATCTTGCAGTAACTTCAAAATGATTATTGTTTTTTAATTCTATTTTTTTTTTAAATCTTGAAAATATTTTAGTTTGATAAAATTGTTTTAAATTCTGTAAAAAATTTAATCTCTTTAAAATTTGTAATAACAATTTTTTCGTAGTTTTCCATTCTACTATTTAGCATGAAATATACTTTTCTTGCAAACCCTAGAGTAGTATATATTTATCATTTGGTTATTTTGGAGTGCAAAAATACAATGGGCTTAAGTTATTTTGTTTC